GCAAATGGCTGCAATATAACAAAGAGTGAAAAATTTAAGGGGGTCTGAATACTTTCCGTACCCACTGTATATACATTGAAGTGTGCTAACAAGGACCTGGGGTCATGAAAGGGCTCTTAGTTCAAAACAGTTTGAGAAACCCTGAAGAATCTGATGAGTAAAACTAATTATACAATTAATAATGATAATACACTACTAATCAAAAGTTTGGGATTAGATTGTTTAATGTTTCTGATAGAAGTTTATACTGCTCACCAAGGCTGCATTTATTTGATCAAAATACAGTACAACTGTTTATACAAGTATTACAATTTAAAATAGCTGTGTTCTATGTCTATCAAAGCTGAATTTTCAGCATCATTACTTTTTTTTTTTTTAAGAAAAAAAATACAATTATATACTATATAACCTTTTCCAGGCCTAACAACCTGTTTTATTCTCAATGTGTACAGGTTTTCCACTGTGTGTGTTCTCTTGACAGCAGGGATTTCTCTCTTGTTTCTGTTTGTTTGTTCTGAATCGGTGCATCACAGCAGTGAGTGTGTTGTGTTGTTGACATTGTAATATTACACTATGAGCTGTGTGCATGAGTCCGTGACATTGATTCTCTGATTAACAAATAAATCTGCCATCAGAAGACATCAAATAACCCTGGATATATGAAGGACCTCATCATGATGGATGTTCAGCTCAATGCCTGACTGTAATTTACAGCAGATGATCAGATCAGTATATATTCAAATGAGCACCACAGATTATCGCACAGATACTGACAATGCATAACTGCAGAAACACGCACGCACACACACACACAAATGCACACACACACACACACACACACACACACACACACACACACACACACACACACTCACACACACAAATGCACACAATGGCTTAAAGTCAAGATGAAATCCAAATTGACTCCATTTACTTCCTTAACACATGTTCCTGCTCTTAACATTATTCCGATGATCAGCTTGCTTTTGCAATCTTTCACCCTAATAACTAAGAAATGAAGTCACTTGGATAATGCTAAAGCTAATAAAATCCCACTGTACTTATTTTTCTTTTTGCTTGAATACGTGTTATTGAAGTTAATTAAAACTAAAACTGAAAATAAAATTAAAATCATAAAAAATATTTCTGTTACTTGAAATAAAATAAAATATAAAACATGTTATTTAAAAAAAATTCTCACATTTCTCATTTTAATTACTTAACCTAATGTACTAACATGACTACAACTGAAATAAAATGAATGATATATATATATATATATATATATATATATTAATATAGTAACTTCGTCACGAGGAGCCTGCCTGCACTGTCTGTGGTTACGCCGCTGGAGTGTGTGCTTCTCCACGGTTTCTACCTCTTGTACAGCAGGATGGCGATGACGATGCAGATGATGAAGATGACGGCCAGCACAGGCCCCACAACCCAGATCAGACCCTCCTCTTCATCGATTATGGGCTGCGGGTCGATATCGGCAAACATCACCGGATCAGAGTACGGACTCGCCGCGTACAACATCTGCAAGAAAAACCACCACAACACGTTTGATGTTTCTCTGGGTTTGATGTGTTTTCAATGGACCGAGTGCAGCAGAAACGTGCAGCTCGTAGTTTTGTTAAAGCACTTGCATGAATTATTCAGCAGAACAAAATAGTTTGTTATTTGATCTGTAAAGTGTCTAAGTCGTGCCTTTTGTGGTGGAACTACTACAAAACTGTTCACGTTCACATGCATTAAACTATCCTTGCATAGATCGCACATGTAATTGTATACACATAATGACATGTTTCAGACTAATGCAGGGAACGTTTCTTTAAAGCCGTTTCCTTGCAATCAATGGCAGTGTATTATTATTCAAGCACACAGTCAAACAGCCTTGACGTGCTGGAAACAATTAACGGAAACAATTAAACGGAACTATATACATACGATCATATAAAAACACTGTCAGAGGTCTGAAATCCTGTTATGATTGATTAATGTAATATTCATCAGTGTGTGTTGCGTTGTGTTCAGTGATGTGAGTTACGAACTACATTCAGTGATTAGCATCTAATTTACTCTGAAATCATCAGCACAAGCAGATAAACAGAGACGTAAGACACACACACACACACACACACACACACACACACACACACACACACACACACACACTTCTCTCTGTGTGTG